CTTCTTTTTTTTTTTTTTTTTTTGGTTGAGACAATAAAGAGAATTCATTAACAACAGGGGCAATTACAAGAATTGAACAACACAAAATCCCGAACCCCTACTTTAAACCAAATCTAAGATTACATTTCAAACCACATAGGCCAGAAACAATGGACAAACATAATAACAAGAAAAACAGCCTATTAGAAGCCACAATAATCAAAGGAAAAACAGAGCAAAACATCAGGCAATCTCCAACCCCTACTTTATTCCTACTTTCTTTTACTTTTCTTTGTTGGGTGTCTTCATGTTTCATGAAAACAATAGGATCTCTTTAATTCTCATCATTGCTGCAAGAGAAAGCAAAGGAAATCCAAAGAACCATTAGTTTCTTATAGACTCTTTGGAACGCCAATATATATACAGTCCCTTTTTGCTTTTCCCTTTTCTTTTTTTCTTTTTTTTTGGTCACTAGCTTGGGAGGTGAAGGGGAGAATATTAGGTGGGTTTCTCAAGGTGCAGCAATGGAGGCTCGGTTCCATGGGGCGGGGCACCGGAGGAGGAGGAACACCTCAACCACTGAGGTGGGAACCCATTGCCTTATACTTTTCCCCTCTCTAGCTATATATAATTCATGGTGCACTATAATAGTGTAGTGACCAGGATAATATTGGACCTCCCACCACCAAACATGTTTCCTAGACCTGGCAATATTATACGAAACACGATAACACGACACGAATTCGCAAAAAAATTTCAGTATTCGTGTCCGTGTTATCGTATCGTGTTGCTATCGTGTCAACCCGTTAGTCACACGATAAGTTATCGTGTCGTGTAAATTCGCGAATACCCGTTAACCCGTTAAGCTCAGGGCATTTTTGTAAATTTATCTCTTTCTTTTTTTATTTTTATTTTTTCTTCTTCTCTTTCTTCTCTTTTGTCTCTTCCTCCCCCATTCCACCGATTCTCTCACTACCCCATCTCTCTCTCTCTCTCTCTCTCTCTCTCTTCAAAACCCAGAAACCTTTAAGCTTTCTTCTTCTCTCAACTTGAGAGTCACAACCATGGCAAAAGCAGAACTAGAAGCAAAACCCAGAAGCCCTTTAAATGTGCATGCATGAAAAAGCTGAAGATCAAACAACAACAAGAAGCAGACAACGTGTTGTTTGGAGACCAGACAAAAAAAAATATTTTATTTTAAGATTTTAAAAATCATATGTTTTTATTTTTTTATTTAATATTTTAATTCTTATCGTGTTAATCGTGTCGTGTCGTGTGATTCGCGAATCGTAACGGGTCGTGTTTGTGTTGGGCATTTCCAACCCGTTTTCTTATCGTGTCGTGTCGTGTCAACCCGTTAAAAAAAGCGGGTTGACACGAACACTGATAACACGACACGAATGCCAGGTCTAATGTTTCCCACGAAAAGCATCACAAAAAAAGAAAGAAAAATGAACATCCTGATTCTCACACCAACAAAATGTTAGGCCAATGTCCAAATCCAAATCACCACACTGCTATTTTTACAAATAACAAGCTCTGTTGGCAATATCATTAGTGACCGAAAAGAAGATTAAAGAAGACTTGGACGATGCCCATTATTTGTATGACCGGTTCGGCATGTCAACTTGCGAGACTAAAAATATGTAAGTACATCCTAAATATTTAAATCAAAATGTAAAATTAACTAAGTACACCATATTTAACTACACAAAATACCTTTGGTACACCCTAATACACTATATCACATCTCATTTGCCATGTCATATTTTAATTTCTTCTAAAGCTTTTGATCTTCACATTAAAATGGGTCAATTTGAACAAATCTGGGTTTTTTTTTCTCCTCCAAATTCCTCTTCTTTTTTTTCTCATCTCAATGGGGTTTTGACTTAGTCTTCAAATAACGAATTTGTTCAAACTGGTTCGACAGCAAGCCATATGGGTCTAATAGCTACTGCAAACTTGATTCAAATGAAAACTAATTCCCAAATGCCTTCTTATATTTGAACTTTATATCCAACTAATATCTTCAATGATTGTTATGAATAGTTAGATGGTCTTCCACTTTCAGATTTGGTATCTTAATAATTTCCTTAACCTTCATTTCTAATGGAGGAGTTGTTGGGCGGCAATGGAGGGTTGTTAGTCGGCAAAGGAACGAACATTCAACGATACCTCTTTGTGCCACCGCCAATTTTTGCTGCGTTGTTCACCGTCAGCATCAAGTAATACGAATACATTTGATTAGGGTTGGATATGGTGAGTAGGGTGTACTTATTAAAATAATTTTTTTTTTTTGGACGAATATTAAAATAATATTTGTTTCACAATTTAATATATCTCTTTTGGTCACTTTATATTAGGGTAAATTAGTCATTCAATAAATAATTTTGTACTAGGTTGTACTCAATTAATTTTAGGGTTCATTTAGCAGCACTCAAAATTAAACAAAGGGCGCTTCAATGTCCCTACTACTAAAAGACGAGAAGGTGCATGAAATATAAAAGTGTTGCGTGCGTCTCATGCCCAAATTCAATTCAAGAAGTACATGTTGAGGCAAAACCAACATATTAATATTACAAGTAATAATTCATTTTTATCAACAAGAAAAAGAAAGGAAAAGAAGAAGATGAAGCTACAAATATAAAATTATTGTTTTTCGGACTGTTTCTGTTTTTCAAAGTTCCATTCTATTCATGTAACAAAGTTATAGTCATAGGAAAGGAAGGAAATATATATGTTAGTCTGTAAAGGAAGAAAGCTTTTTTCATCAAAGACCTTCATAGCGCACTTTTTTAGACCATAATCCTCCTCCAGCTTTGCGAATTGAAGATACAGAGGTTTCTTTGCATCAGCAGGCGCCTGAAATACCATGTGCAGGTTAGAATCACAATAAAATAATGATGTACAAAGGCAAAATTCTAGCATCTTGAACTCAAACCTAAAAGGTTTTTCAAAGTTATGAAGCGCACACACACTAATACACATCAGTCAGCAGAGTGATTGATATATATAACATCTGCAAACCACAAGGAGAAATCTGGACACCCAAAAAAATATAGGATCTAGCAAGTCAGGCTAAAGGTAGGTTATCATGTTGATTAAAGTTAAGTAATTTCTATCAATAGGGTATAGCTCAGTTGGTTGAGCTCTTCAACCTTCACCCATGTGGGTATAGGTTCAAAACCCCTAGGCACCCAATGATTTTGGTATGTTATGAACCTAAGACCTACGCCGTTTTCTCATAATTGAATTCATGAAAATAGCACAGAGGAAGGTCCTTGCACACTTCAAAAGCAGCTTGGCTTATAATAATCAGGGTATCCCATTCATCTCAAGATAGAGCAATAAAAATTGTCACCTTTTATGCCTTAGATAGGTAGGATTTGTAGGAGTATTATAAATAGGGAGTTTAGGTCATTGTTCAAGGAGGCAATTACCCATCATCAATCATCCTACATATTCATACTCATAGTCGAAATCTCCAAAGGAGAATACGAAGAAAGCTTGCGCAACCTTGGCGTTCTACTTCGAGAATTCGGTGTCTTCCATGTCTTCATCAACCATCAGGATGCTCAATAAGTCCTTCATGAACTAATTTCTTTTACTAGGGCTACGATGTAGCCTAGCTATGAATACTCAAATTCTTTGATATTGTTAATTTTATTTATCTATACATGTTGAGTGCTTGTTACCGTTCTTAATGCTTTCAATTAATTGGCCACTAATTGCATGATTGGAAGAATTGGGTTGAGACCGAAAGGAGATTCCTAATAAAAAGCTTCTTGTAACAAGTACCATAAATTATATAGCCGACTCGGAAGATTAGGTTATGGTTTGTGTAATCTTCAATGTTTTCCACAAATCTTAATGGGTTCTTAGCCATCTAAATCCATAACTAGAAATAGAGTAGGTTGACAGTACGGAACACAACTAATATAACTCGGAAGAGAGTATTAGGTAATTAAGATTGACAAGCTAGAAGGATTTGGGTGGAATTAGCTAAGTGAAATCGGTGTCCTGGTGCTTTATCATCTTTATTTTCATGTTTTTCATTATTTACTTAATGTCAATTTATTTTACTTGCTTAATTAGATTTTAATCATCATAATTCTCTTATCGTTTAATTCAAATATAATTAGAAATAAATCACTCTAGTGTTTAATAGATTAACTTGATCCCTGTTGGAACGATACTCTATTTACTACTATACTAATTTGAGCGATATTGTCCACTTGCAATTAATCACATCATTAGGAGTTTTATAATTTGTTAAGAAGAGTGCGGCAAATATAATCTCCAGACAAACCCACTTGTATATTAATTTGATGTTAAATACTTTATAACTTGGATTTATGAACGTTATGTGGGTAAAGCTAAACAACCCTACCACATTACACTATTATCAAGCTAAACAAGCCTTTTCTTTACATAATTCATAAAACATTCAAACAAAAAACGTATGCATCAAACAAAGTTAATTATAAGGATGGTTTTATTTGAACGAAATAGTTATATAGAAACACACACATACATTGTCTTTTCGTTACATGTTTCATAAAAACTTTTTAAAAGTGACAAAGCCAAAGACGAACATCATATGACATTAGAAGACAAACATCACATCACATAATCAGGATTTTATTCCCAAGCTCTGCATTTCTTATCAAATATTCCTCTTCCATAGGTAAACATAAAAATGTCAAGAAAGAGGGGGAATTGCATCCACACAAACGAGCTTATTGGAACGCTAGCAAGCAAAATGATTGGAATAGATACCCATGATTCTCCCTCAAGCATAATAAAAAGAGTTGAAGAAAAAGCAACCATCATGGTGGCGATATATCAAAAAGGGTGAAAAGGCCTAATATCATTTTTGTGGGTAAAGACCAGAGGAAATCGTCTTCTGCATAACGTGATGTGAGAATTCCCAAGAATATCATCACTGATGTCGTCGAAGAAAAGAGTGATATAGAATCTGAAATTGTAAAAACCCTAAATAACTTCTTTCTTAAGAAAATGGGAAAACCTGTATCTTGATTGCTTCCACCAGGAACTGTAAATGCAGCTGCAAACATAATGGTAACAATGAGGGCACCTACGACTGTGCAAGAAGTTGCTGTCCCTTTCATTGACTCTTCTCCTTCCTTCACCAATTCTTTGTGGTTCTTAGTGAATAGTTCTCGTGCTGTTATTTTCTCGGTATAATTTATAGTTTCTAAGGCCTGAAGGGGTAAAATACTCTCCACCTCCTACATTTCATTAAGAAAACTCACATCACATATATAGCCTATAGGTTTATGTAACAAAGTAATTGTTGACATATAAGATTACATATATGTAATCAAGTGAGAAAATCTGACCTTGAACCAATGTAGCTCTCTTTGCATTTGCAAAGCTGCACCTTGAATATGATTAAGATGGGCAGATAAACTCCCTGCTGCATGTAGGATAGTATTGTTAGACCTATCTGCACTCCTTAAGATAATAGTCCTGTCATATTCACTGAGCCCATATATAAGATTAAAAACTTTTTCTTGACGACATTCAACGGCATAAAGAAATATTGATCTGCCTCTTTCATCCATCTTCATCAGTGGGAATCTTGGATTCGCCTTACACATCTCCTTAATAAACTCCACTTGTCCTCGTTCTACAGCTCGGAGGATTGCGCTTTTCACAAAGGCAGTTTGCTTCGAGTCAAGATTTCTATTTTTTACCACGTTACACATGAGCCGTAGAACTTCAAGAATTCGGTCATGGTGCAATCTCATTTCATGCAAGTCATTGATTCCTAGGTTAACAGTAAAAAAAAAATATTAATCTACAACGTATTACAAAAGTGAGAATTAAACCAAGAATCAATAATGTTGGATGTAGCTAGCGTACCTAACAGTTTGAGAAGATTCTTAACAACTCCTTGGAAGAAACCCGTAACTGTTTTGCGAAATCCGTAGATGTTGGCTAAACAAAAACAAAAATGTAACAAAGGATGCAATATTGAAAACCAAGAAGAAAATGGTAACGTACCTGAGGAAATGAGATCCCTTCGATTTCTTTTGTCATCTTCTAGTTCTTCAAAATTTACACAACATCAGAGTTGATAGGAGCATGTTGAGGTTGTTGTACGTGTATATCTAAAGAGAAAGCAACACAATCCAATCAATACATTTTCCTACTTCTCTGAAGTAGTATTATTCTATATATATATATGTGTGTGTGTGTGAATTCAGACACTGTCTTGTGAACAATGAAAGTTAATGAATATGCAGACTTGCACTCCTTCGTATATACATAATAAATCAAATCAGAAGGAAACAAAAAAAATAGAAAGCTCTTGTAAGGATCATTTTGTATTAATGTAATTAATATATATATTTTTTTAGTCTCAATTTGATTATCCTACAAAGGAGATCAAATCATACATATATTTAGTTGGTACATCTCGCTATATATATAACTTTAACATGAAAAATTTAGTTTGATACTACGAAGAGAAGAGAGACGAGAGAAGAGAGAAGAGAATAATCTCGCTATATATATAACTTTAAAATGAAAAATTTAGTTTGATACTACGAAGAGAAGAGAGACGAGAGAAGAGAGAAGAGAATACAAAATACTAACTGTTATAGATCCAACGTTGCCAAAATCTGAGGGGAACCCCACTTGGAAATGCCGAATGCAAACCAGCCAGTGCATTTAGAGGGGAGTGCCCGGAGTAATATTCAGTAAGGACCAATTTTGGGCAATGCTGAAGTAAATCCCATCCAATATCTATAGTATAGTTGGTTCATCATATAAGTAGCCACAAATCAACATATACTATAATTGGTGTTATATATATATATATATATATATATCAAAATGGTGTCAAAATTACCAAATTTATTTCTGTCGACAAGGGACTCGGAAATAAGTTCAGCACCATCGCGGCCATTATTGTCTTCAGTCAAAACATGGATTGGAGTGCGACTATAGAGAAAGCGAGCTATTTCGCAGTGGCCCAAAATACAAGCGAATAAAACTGGAGTCATACTTGTTGCGTTGGGAAAACGCATGGTAACTAAATTCTCGTTCTTTTTAACCATGCTGGCAACTATTTTGGCCATGCCTTTACACAAAGCAGTGAAAAAAGCTGTGAAACCAAAGTCGTCTTCAATTTCCAAGTCCTGTTCTGTCATCAGCTTCAACAACTCTTCCACAATGTCTAACTGCTTCCTCTCGATTGCCTCGTGAAGAGCTGTCCCACCGCTTGATGAACCTCTATGTGTTAGTGACTCAGGGTGTCGATCAATAAACTCCTTGGCAGCATTCCAATCACCACGCTCCAAACTATCGTACAAAGGATCATACTTCACATCCCTCTCACAAAAATAAAAATTATCCCATCCTGTTTAAATTAAATATATCAAAACATATTTCTATAAAATAAAATAAAAATACCCTTTTCCCGTTGACTTCAAGCCAAAACCAGAAAGATCAAAGGGTTTAAGTGCTAGATTAACCCTTGAACCAGATGCGTAGGCTACAATCCCCTGAAGGTGGAGGCGAAGACATCGATATGGTGGAAGAGTGCCAATTTGGGCTTTATTATTGTTTCAACTTCTGAAAGGATTGGGATGGGTTTGAACTTTGATCGATGCGTTTTTCTCATTGGATGGTTAGAAAGCCAGAGGAAGAAGATGAAGAGTACATTAAAAACAAAGTTTTCTTTTCAATGTTTGTTTTATTATTAAGAAGTATGGGACAGTTGGCGAAATATTAAGAAAGAAACAAGAAGGCAGGAAAATTGAACTCTTTCCCGTTAGCTTATATATATATATATATTATATATACTAATGCTACGTATCTAACATCCCGTTTAAGCTACAATGATCTGACGCCAACCCAAAGTTTTGTTTTTCCTGTTTCTCTCTCTCTCTTTTTTTTTGTGAGTTACATCGATATGGGGAGGGGGGATTACAACAAACCTACTAGTTGGGGGGTTTCGAACCTCAGCCCTTTGGGCTGGAGGCCAACCACCTTACCATCATGATAAAGACCCATTGGCCTCTGTCTCTCTCTTTTATCATTCCTTATTTTGACAAAGAGATATATGCGTATCTGTGGCATCACTTTCACAGCTAGACTTTACTATAAAATAAATATCGCGCAATATTATATATTATTATACCTATTTTGTGAGCATGGTTGATTGGAGAATGAAAACTAGTAAACAAAAATAAAAGAAGAACAGAAGGCAACATAAAATAAAAGAAGAAAAGAATCCAACAAACAAACCTCAAAATTCAAAACTGAAAAAACCCACCGAAGAAATAAAACCAGCAATATACATGCAGTAATTAAGGAGTCCATAAAATTAATTGCTGCTGGAGGGTAAAACGGGCATTATAAAATTTTGAGGATGAGACCCAAAACAATCATCAGTTGCGGAGCCATGATTTTATTTTAATATGCGGGAGGGCAACATATAAATATATTTTTTAAAAATTAAATCTTTCAACCTTAACATCATACATGAAGAAGAAAACATAAAATCCAGTATGATTATACCTTCTTCAGAATCAGAAGGCTTTAGCTCTTCAGAATCAGAAGGCTTTAGCTCTTCAGAATCCGAAGGCTTTAGCTCTTCAGCCAACATATCCCAGGCAGCTTTGGCTGTGGTAATGCCCTTGATTATAGGGTAAGTATCATCCCCGCAACACGTCCGGATTGCAAGTAAAGCCTTGGCATTATTCTTCCTCCAAGCCCTAAACTCAGCCTCACCATCTTCTGGTTTTGGTGGTTCAGTGGCTGCTTCCACAACGTCCCAAACATCTTCAGCTAACAGGTACACTTTCACCTGGAAACTCCAATCTTCATAGTTATGACGGTTAAGAAGTTGAAGATTAGCAATCGGGGAAACTGTAGCTGCCATGTTCAATCTCTGCGGAGCTAGAGCTAGCTTGTAAATTCCCTACTATATCTATATGTGCGCTTACACTATATATAGGCAAACTTACTTCTGAACTGATCTATAGACAACAAATCAGTAAAAACCAAAAAACATGACAAATCAGCAATTAAAAAGAACTTGACAAAACCTCAGGCATGTGTGAACGTAGTAATTAAAGACATTCAGCAAAAAAGTAATGTAGTAAAGAGAGTTCCAATTCCAATGCAGGAAATTTCGTCGAGTTTAGAGCATCTTCAATGCTTTGGTGTAACTAATAAGCACATGAACCACATTTAGAGCTAGACTGGCCAATGTATACTCGACCCATACTTTTACCTTAATTTATAGTAATTTATATTATTGTTTGTATTAGAAAAATACAATTAAAAAGCAAAATTCCACTAATGGTGATTATTCCAAACAAACAATACTCTAACAAATACAAATACAAATACATATCACTACTTCAAATTTCCTAGCTAATAGACTACACTGCATAGGCATCAAGAAAATTAAAAAACGATGTCATTATGGTATTAAGCATCAGATGGAAAAAAAAAAGATATTGTTAGGTACCTAAAGACTTCGCCACTTAAAACTACTGATGCCTTTTATAGTGTGTACATATATATATATATATATACAATCTAATTGTGATGCCTATTACAAAATTTTAGCATTAGCATCCTAGAATGCCGATGCTATTGAATATATTTTTCTTTAGCAGGATTTTTAGCTCTTCTTTCCCAGTGAAAATTTCACGAGGCATCGGTATGTGATAGTAAAAGGCATAGATTTTTCCCCGATGTCTATTAGCCTTTTTGTAGTAGTGTATATTTTCTTCTTGGTGCACTACATATTCTCTTTTTCTTTGCTATTTGAACATTTGCATCTTAATCTAGCCGAGCTAGTGTCGTGTCAGGTCTTACTTCATCGAGCCGCACTGGTGTGTCGTGCTCAGACCAATCCGAACCGTTTGACATCTCTAGAACCGTACAAGAGGTTGATGTCTCTTTCATTGATCTTTCTCCTTCCTTCAACAATTCTTTATTGGTTCTTAGTAAATAAATGACGTGTTGTCATGCCATTTATATGATTTACAACGTCAAGAACCTTGAGAGAGGTACCATTTTTGTACACCTCCTGCATTTCATCGAATAGAAATGCAAAGATGTAACCGAAGCAATTACAACTGTGATAATCTCCTAAATCCTTGACTACTTTATATGATACTCTCATATCGGTCTTCTAAGTACCAAATATAAATAACATGTGAAGACAATAATTATTTTTGTTACAATAGAGAAAGTATGTATATAGGGAGAAACCACTACTACATTTTAGCGTTTGCGCGACGAATCAAAAATAGTCGCGCAAAGAACAAATCTGTCGCGGAAACAATAGCGCGACAGATATATCGTCGCGCAAAATCAGTCGCGCAAATACCGTCACGCTAGACTTTGCGCGACAAAACTATAAAATATCGTCGCGCAATACCCTTCGTTGCGCCAATAGTTCAGGGACGACAAACAATCCGTCGCTCAATATTTTGCGCGACGAGAGTACAGGCGTTGCAGCAACTACGCGCGACGACACTTCAATCCGTCGCAAATATTTTTTGCGCGACGAATTAACAGACGTTGCATGAACATAATGCGACGACATATATTCGTCGCGCAAACAATATTTGCGCGACAAATATTTCGTCGTTGCAAATACCTTGTGCGATGAATAAGGATCGTGACTCAAACCCTTGCGCGACAATGATTTATTTGTCGCATTTTCTTTAGGGGACAAATACGTCCGTCGCGCAAACCGAGGATTATATTCGTTTACGATATATTTTTATGGTTTTTTTATTTTTTAAAACGTGATTTGCGCGACGGGTCAATTTTTCGTCGCGCAAATATTAGTAATTAATTTTTTTTT